TGCTCATACTAAAGTTGCAGCTATAACTAGAAATCCTTTAAGAAATCACACTATGACAAAAACTGTACAGTCAAAAGTTGTTAATTTGCACACCCATAATCCGGAATGATCTATAATCCGGACCTCAAAGCTAAAATCTTTCTGCGCAAAGCATTTTACGCGTGCGCGCAAGACAGTTACGACTGCGCAAGCGCAGAATATGTTTTCGCCTGCTCGTTTAATGTATAACGGACGGTATAAGCTAAAATTATCTATTTCAGTTAATGTTGATGATTGCGTTGTTCCTTAATCTTCGAATTGGATCCGGCTTATTATTTTTTGCAGACTGTAAGAGCACTTTTATAAAAGTAAGCTTGAACTTTCGATTATGTCAAATAGAATTTCCGATGCTGGAGCTCCCAAAGGATCTAGAAAACGAAAGTATGTTTCGATGCCCATCAAACAAAACACGAATTGCTACAAAAAATGGATAAAGGTATATCCTTTGTTTATCAATTTCACGCTGCTCTGCGCCGGGGGGGGGACGTCGCGGCGCGCAATTAACGGGAAGTTGATCTGTCAGCACTATCGTTATCTTCAGGGCAGATGTTTTTATTTTATTCGGCTTATAATTCCTTACTAAATGTAGTATTTAATCTCGATGTACTCCGTCTTTGATATGATTTAAATCAAATTCCTCGTCATTATAAATATCACGAATACAAATCAAATAGTTTTCTGGTTGCAATTTTCTAATTTCGGCTATGCGTAAGGTACGCATGCGCGTGTTAAAAGAAATGTTGGTGAATCTTTACATTATGGTAACTTGGCGATTTTTTGGCAAAAATTTGGCGACAAACCCTGCTACAGCAACCTGCTAGTTTCGTTTTGGACGCCATTTTGTTTTCACGAAGTAAAGGCATTTTTTTTTTTTTTAACTCAACATTTTTTCCAGCAATCTGCTAGCCGAATTACGTTTATACTAGAACTTTTATGGAACATAAATGCTTAATTATGACGAAGATTAGGAGCGAAATTGGGAGAAAGTGCAGAATCGCAAACCGCTTGCCGCGTTTTTAAGAATTGCACATACACGGTATCCATGTACACGTCCACCTATTTCCACTTAAAAAAACATCCCAGAATTGCACAAAAATGGCATTGCGCACAATCTTGACTTTATCTATGTACACATCGACCTATTTTCACTTAGAAAAGTCAAAGAAAATTAACAAAAATCTAATTCTTCTTACTCTTGTAAAAAGCGCCGAACAAATAAGTGGGCGATTCTGCACTTTAGCAGCGAAATTGTTTCTAAGTGCTTATTAGCTACAATCACGATCGGAATTTTCCGGAAAATGTCACATTACATGTCTCATGATCTCTTATTTCTCCAAGACAAAATAATCTGGGATTCGAACTGTGTACTTCTCAGATTATTGCTAAAGTCCTAGCTAGTAACTTTTATCGCCTTACCAAAATGTCGCCAAACTACCTATTACCATATTCTAAAGATTAGCCGAAATGTTTAATAAAGTAAACAAATAAATATTAAGCTTCTTTTGGTTGATCTTTACATTATGGTAACTTGGCGATTTTTTGGCGAAAATTTGGCAACCAACTCTCCTACAGCAACCCTCTATTTTTTTTTCCCCGCAGCCATTTTGTCTTCACGAAGTAAAGACATGTTTCTTTTCTTTTTATCTACTGAACACTTCTTCCAACAATCTACTAGCCGAATTACACTTATGCTAGAAATTTTATCAAACAAAACTGCTTAATCATGACAAATATTCACTGCAACCTGGTAAAAAGAACATATATGAAATTACCTGATCGCGAAAAAGTATTTACCCTTTACAAATATGAACATTTCCACATATAAAATAAATAAAATATCCAAAAACTTTTACCTCTAAATCATCTATTACATTATACACGTCACCAACGAATTCATACCGCAAGCATTACAAATACTTAGTATCAAATATTTAAATTATTTCCATGCACGTTTATTTCAACTTAAACGTATACCAAATTCCTACAAACATAAAATTCACAAAATAACTATCATTTCATTAAAATATAATTAAATTCAAAAACACTACTTAAAATATAAATGAGCACATACATTAAATTAATAAAAATTACCTTACAATCCTAATTACTTTAAACTAAATCATTGCTAATAACAATTTTCCCAATAATACCAAATTCCTTTCCACCTTACATTTAGAACAATGCATAAAAATAATATCCTCAAATAATTAAAAATACTAACTTACCTAATCTTCTTCAGAATCTTGATTACGTGGCGGATACACTTTTCTAATTCATTCAATAAAATTATCGAAAGATTTTTTCTGCGAATTTTTCCTCCATACTTCCTCCGCTAAATAAAAAGCAAACTTCTCTTTATCACAATGCCTAAATACCCATTTCAAATTCACTTTAGTTAGGGCCATGGGATCCAAAAATTACGCAACACTGTTTCACACAACACAGAATAAAGCTAAATACAAAATTTCCAGATTTTTTGCCGATTTCCCCCCCTTTCCGATTAAAGAACTTTAATTCGTCCATTAATATCACATGACATATCTCATGATCTCTCATTTCCCTCACGCAAAATAATGCGTAATCGAAACTGAGTACTGCTCACATTATTACCAAAGTCCCAGGTAGTAACCTTTATCGCCAAACTACCAGTTACCATATTGTAAAGATCAACCCTTCTTTTTTTGTAAATTTTGATACCCTTTAGATCATAATTGCTCATTATTTTATAAATTACGGTTTCATATTTTTAACTTTATAATTTCTGCATGCCATCTTACCAGATTTAAACTGATGATCTATAATACGGAAAAAATCGATAATCCAGAATCGCCAAAGTCCCGACGAGTCCGAATTAAAGACTTTTGACTGTATTACACATTCAAAATCGGTGCAGGATCAAAATCAGGATCGGTGCAACCTGTGCAGCTGCACCATGCAGCAAAATTTTTAAAAGCATTGAAAAGAAGAATGTTGAAATGACAAAAAATGTTTAATTTGGAAGAAGCAGAATTCAGGATGCGCAGAAATTGCACAGGCTGCAAAATACCTACTGTCCAGTCCAGTCCAGTCCAGTCCATGTCTATATTGCCGGTGTGCAGCAAGTATATGCCGCTTTACCGGCTCCTGACAGTTGATGGTCCTGAAGAGTGGCGGTGGAACTGAAGGTCAGGAAAAAGGGGTGACCCTGCGTCACAGAATACAAACCAGACAATTGATGTTGAAGAGCGTGGTGATGATGAAGATTTAAATTTCATTCCTGATAAACCTACTGTCTACCTTGCTCCTTAGTGCAATTCTTTCGCTTTATCACATGATAAAAAGAGACCCTGTTAGTAAGTTCACCACTACGAAAGATTTTATTTATCTTTTGATTACATATATACAAAATATTTTCCTGGACTGAGGATATAAAAATGGTTTGGTTTATTTATACAAAACATGCAAGGGTTATCTAAGAAGAGAATGCCTTCGTGGAGGACTTTTAAAGAGTTACAGACTCATATCCATGTTACACATGAGAAAAAACATGAAAACGCCCGTTTGCCTGGAATCGAATCCGGATTGAACTACCAGCGTTTCAATGACTTCACCGCTGGACATATAAATGAATGGATACTTTTAAAACGTGAATATTTATGAAATGTCCAAAATCTGTACAAATCAATATTATTAGTATAAATCAGCGTTTCTTAAACTGTGGGTCGTCGTCTGCAGCAAGGGATCACCAAAACATTGAGCAGTTTTGATATTTCTTAATAACTCATTTTATAATAATTTTACAATTACCAAATATTTTTACACAATATATCTGAAAATAGATAAAGATAAGACAATGCAGGCAATGAAAAAAGAAAAACGTTTCGAAGCATTCTTTTATAATAGAAAAATTCATTTTACTTGCTTTGCACGTGACGCTGTCATTTCGTCTGTTACTTATTTAAAATTTTCACATTGTTCTATGTCTTAAAATTAGAAATTAAAGTTAATGTCCTAAAACTGCAATAGTATATTACAGTACAAGTAAAAAAACTGAGTTTCATACACGTGTGCGGGCGGATTTGCGCAATGCTTATGGGGGTCCCACAAAGTTTTCGTAAATATTATGTTGTCCTGGTGGTCGCGAATGAAAAAAGAAGACCTGGTATAAATCATACTATGATATATTTTATGGCTTATTTTATTTTTATTTAACTCATCCATGAAATAATAAACAAAACACCAAAATCGTTAGATATTTTAAATGGAAACATATTTACGCATGTATCATTAGTGGCACTTAAATACAAATGATAATAAAATAACAGAAGTTACCGCAGCGATGCGAATTCCAGAGACGGAGTATAAAGCTTGTTTAAAGGTTTCTAAAATAGATTTTACTGATCTTGCGTGTTACAACAAATTTTAGACAGACAGACAGACAAAGTAGACAGACATCTTGTTTTGCACCCGCTAAATCTTTCTGCACCGACGGGTGAAAAATCAAGCTTAAACGCAAACGGAATAAAAAAGAAAGATATTTCAGAAGAGATAAAAAAGAAACTTCGTACTCTTTATACGAGTTCGAAAGGCCAGGAAGGAAAGATGGGACAAAATAAAAATAAAATAAATGGTCCAAAGTTAATGTAAAAAAAAAAAGGAGAGCCTATAGAAAGAAAAGAAAAAGAACTATAAAAATGGCCTAAAAAATACGATTGAGTCCTACCAATACGATTACCAAGGAGACATACTCCGTGATTATAGCCATTTTTTTAATTTCTAAAAACTTCAAAAATGTACAGTAATAAATTGAAAATAAATTACACATTAGTTAAGTTTTTAAATTACTGATGAATTATTCAATATTTACATACAGATTTAATTCGAAAACTCAGGCATTATCTAACATATTTATGTAAAAGCAAAGTAAATGGGAAAATAACTTAAACTTTTATTCGGTTTTCCTTTAGACGCATGCGCTGAAAATAAAGAAAACACAATATTGGATAGGTGAAAGTGGTAATTTGTGTTTCAAAAACTCTAGACCTAATAAAGTTTATTTCGCAAAAAATGTTTGATGACCATGCATGCTAATCTTTCATACATATTCGAGATATATGTATAATTGGCATATGAAAGCATTTTCATTTTCAGTGAATTCATATACTTTACAAATTAACTACTTATAGCCTCTATTAGGTGTAAAGCTGTTATTTCTTCATAAAATTACAATATTGTGCATTTGTTTAAGTCGAATGCATTATGGCTTGTTCAGTTTCATATCAGTCGTTATTGGAACAGTTTGAGAATACTAAAAAGGAATTAAGTGAAGCCGAAGAAACAATTAAACGAATAACGGGTCGTGATCCTGATCTGTTTTCTAATAATGCTCAAGCAAAGTAAGTTATTTAACCGCTTTTTTATGAATTATTGGATGATAATTGTTTAATGTGTGCAATCACTATGGATCCAATAGATAAATCGCGCGGGATATAGGCCCACCAGTGTCTAAGGCCGCTGAACATGGGTGATATTAAATCTGTAGATAGCTTCCACATGGTTTGACATAAATCATTGGTTTCAGACCTGTTTTATGAAAAGTATGAGAGCTGTATAGATCATTATAAGACTATGAATTATTCTGAGTAATCTGTAAATTTTATCACATACTATTTTAATTTATCCATGGAATAATAACCAGAACAGCGAAATTTTATGACATTTTAAATAAAAGCTTATTAACGTATGTATCATAGCCCCATTTAATAGCTGAGAGTATGCACTGCAGTCTCGATAGCCATGCATTAAGAGCTTACTGGGTTTAGTGACAAAGTTGCTCAAATGGTAAAATTGTCACAAATTAATTTTTGAGGGTTGTTTTGTTAATAATAACAAAACAACATCAAGGACGTGCTAAATATTTGGGGGAAAGATAACCTTTGCTTTATTTTCATTCTGCATTTGTCTTTGTTTTATGTATTTATTTTTAATGAAATAAAATAGCCATTTGTTTCATGAAATGTGTGTATCATTAATGTTTCCATTCCTATTTGTTGCTAGATTTCATGTCAATATTTAGTGCCAAGTGCTACCTTGTTAACCATAAAGTTTAGAAAAGTCATATGTAAATATAGATCAGATCAAATTCTGAAAATTTTTCTTAAAGTAATTTTATACATAGCCCTGTGATCTTTTAATTATTTTGCTTATATTTTAGCTATTACAATTAGTCTAAGTATACCAGTTTGAAATGCATATGCTGCATGTATTCCCACTTGATTTTTTTTCCCAATAAATGTGTTAGGAATTTTTTTAATCAATCCTACAGTTTCATTAACACATAAAATATGTGTAGGTCATTTTATCTTTTACCACCATAAATAAACAAATGTGGATATACTGGTCCCCAAGATTGAATCACAACTGAGATATCTCGTCACGTCTGCTTATATTTCGTTACATGTTGCATAATTAAATTTCAGGGGCCACTATCATAAGGATATACCCAAATATGTTTTAAAATGTTTACATTTGTCAAAATGTAAGCAAACAAACACTAGTATAGATTTTAGGCTAATCTTTGGAATATGGTAACAGGTAGTTTGGCGACATTTTGGTAAGGCGATAAAGGTTACTAGCTAGGACTTTAACAGTGTACATGGATAAAGTGAAGAGTGTGCGCAATGCCATTTTTGTGCAATTCTGGGATGTTTTTTTAAGTGAAAATAGGTCGACGTGTATGTGCAATTCTTAAAAGTGCAGCAAGCAGTGGGCGATTCTGCACTTTCTCCCAATTTTGCGTATATCGTATTGTTATGCCCAAATATATATCGTAAGAAGTGTATTTCGGCTTTAATTCAATAGATGACAGCATGTTACTGAAGGGTTCGAACGATAGAGGTTTATGTTAAAAGTGTGCAGCATTTTTGTTGCAAAATGGCGTCCAGTTCTTTGAAATGTTATATAGTTGATTTAGATTCTTCAACCGAAGATGAAGATTGTGAAGGCAACAATACTAGTGATGCAAGTGAAACTGAGGAGAGTGACATTGAATGTAGCCGTAAATCAGCCAATAGTGATGGTGATGGTATAGGAAATGCGAGAGACTGGTGTGAAATAACTGCTTCTGGCCTATCAAGGCCTCCTCGGTTTTCTTTTTTAGGTGTTCCAGGTGTAACTTTTCCTGTAAACATAAACTACACTCCTTTAGATGTATTAGAAATGTTTCTGGATTCAAATCTAATGGATATAATTGTCAAAGAAACAAGCAAATTTGCAGAACAAGAAAGAAGAGCAAATCAGGCAAAGATATGAGTAAAAAATGTATCCCTACAAATGACAGAGAAATGAAGCTATTCTTTGAGATAATAATTCATCTGTAAGTATTGTCTGGAAATCAAATCGGGCTATGTACTGGTCTCATCGAAGGGTTTTGCCCACTCCAATTTACTCCAAAGTAATGCTCATAAATTATTTTATTTTGCTTTTTTTGATATTTACAATTTAGCAATAATGAAGCTGGAAAAAAAAAATTATTTTCCAAATCCAAAACTTTAGAAGCTACATAAATGTGATAGAAAACTTACAGCAAAAATTTTCTAAATTTTACATATTGGAAAGAGCTGTATCTGTAGATGAAAGCTTGATGTCTTATAAAGGAAGGTTATCTTGGAAACAGTATATTCCAAACAAGCGTGCACGATGTTGAATCAAATTTTTTATGCTTTGTGAGTCTAAAACAAGGTGTATATGTGACTTCATTATCTATACAAGAAATAGTACTGTCTTCAATGAATTGTATACAAATTGTGGACTTTCTACAAAAGTCATACACACCTATTGAATCACTTTCTTGGAAATGGTTATTATGCGACTGTAGATAACTATTCAATGTCACCTGAACTTGCAGATTTACTTATAGCCCCAAAAAACAGATATTTATGGCACAGTATGGATAAACAAACGAGATTTACCTACAGAATGTGCTGAAAGAAAGTTACATAAAGGTCAAATCATAGCTTCTCAAAGAGGTAAGATTTCGGCTATCAGGTGGAAAGATAAGAAAGATGTGTATTTGATGAGCAGTGTTCATGATACTTCCATGATCAGCCTTTAAAAAAAAAAAAAAAAAAAATATATTCAAACCAAAGAATGTTTCTGACTACAATCTAACTATGGGTGCTGCAGATCACTGTAATCAAGAAAATATCCTTTCATCCAACAATCCGAAAACGTCGAAAAATATTATAAAAAAATATTACATTTATTAGACCAGGTACTCTGGAACTCATTTTTGCTGTATAAAAATGTAGTTGGGAAACATATTACATTTTTAGAATTTCGAATCCAAGTTTTTTGTAGAAGAGCTTTTATACAAATATGATCATGTAGTTTCTGGACAAAATAATCTTGGCAGACCACCTACAATAGATAACCCCGCCCGTCTTACTGAACGACACTTTATATCCCAGACTCCTCCTACTCCTGCGAAACATGAGCTTTACAAGATAATGCAAAGTTTGTTAATCAAAAAAGAATGAAAATGCTTGGAAAAGTGTTTCCAGTTATACCACACAAAACCTAAATATTGAACTACTGATAGGTATTCATTTTTATTTGCTTTTTTAGAAAATAATTGAATTAATTTCTTTTAATTTTTAGAAAATAATGCTTCACTAGAAGCGAACTTTACCACTGCCATGCTGAGTAGCAGCTGCCTTGAGCGAATATGCAGTGGCTACAAAACCTTAACATTTTTATGCATGTAATTCGTAATATCAATTTTTAACTACTAAGTATATTCTATTTTATACTAAACATTTAGTTTCTGCAGTAAAAAAATTAACAATTTATGTACTCAACTCATCAAAATACTTGACAGTTAGATGGTTAATGCCAAAGCTGTTAAGATCCCTGTGTATAGTATTGGCCATAATTTCTTCTATGCTGGATACTTTGGCTTGTAAATCACTTGCTCTTATGCTTCGGAAGAATATGATGTTTCTAGAAGTTTTGGTATTTGTTATACCTTTGAGAATCATGTATTGCCAACTGGAGTTTAATTTGACACCACTCATTAGCTGGGAAATTTTTTGTTCAGATCATTTGTTCATGATATGATGTGTTTATGAACCAAGATTTCACTTTCGCGCAGTATAATGTCTATTTAGTCATGCAACAATTACAATGTTACTGCATCTTATGTGGTAGGCTTGCCAGCAACTAAGTGGTAAACACTGGTTGTTAGACCTGAGTTCAATTCCAGGCCAACAGACTGGCTGCATAGGCGTTTTCGTGGTTTTTCTCACATGTAATTTACATACAAATCAATTTCCCTTAGACAATTCTCCATGACGAATGCCTCCCCTTAGGCAGATAGCCCTACCATGTTTTCTCATAATCAAATAAACCAAACTGATCTTATCTGGTAGACTTTGATAGAAATATGTTTGTGTAATATCTTGGTGACAAATATTTCCACATCATAAAATGACTAGCTTAATGACAATAACAAAATTTGTATCAAGCATTTTGAATGTTTCTTCTAAAGATACTGCTGTATATGCATATCTTAAGCCATTTGCACAGTATGCCCATCCAGAGATTGCATGAGAACAGAATATCAAGAAGAGTATTCCTGGTTTCATCTTTACAATAATGTTTCCTTATGTAACATTCAAGAATTTTGAGCCAAATTAAACATTTGAATTTTGTCATGCCTTGGTTAATCACTGGGCTTTAATTTGTTTATGACTATTTCTTACTTTGGTTGATCTTTACATTATGGTAACTTGGCGTTTTTTTTGGCGAAAATTTGGCAACCAACTCTCCTACAGCAACCCTCTATTTTTTTTTCCCGCCGCCATTTTGTCTTCACAAAGTAAAGATATGTTTCTTTTTTTTTATCTACTGAACACTTCTTCCAACAATCTACTAGCCGAATTACACTTATGCTAGAAATTTTATCTAACAAAACTGCTTAATCATGACAAATATTCACTGCAAAATTGGGAAAAAGTGCACAATACCATACTCCTTACGCGTTTTTCAAAATAACACATACACATAAACCATGTACACGCCGACTTATTTTTACTTAAAAAAAACATCCCAGAATTGCACAAAAATGGCATTGCGCACACTCTTCACTATATCCATGTACACTGCTTTTTTCTCATAAATTAGAAAAATTTCACGAAAATACATGACAATTTTCTCAATCTTTAAACCCGGTAAAAAGAACATATATGAAATTACCTGATCGCGAAAAAGTATTTACCCTTTCCAAATATGAACATTTCCACATATAAAATAAATAAATATCCAAAAACTTTTACCTCTAAATCATCTATTACATTATACACGTCACCAACGAATTCATACCGCAAGCATTACAAATACTTAGTGTCAAATATTTAAATTATTTCCATGCACGTTTACTTCAACTTAAACGTATACCAAATTCCTACAAACATAAAATTCACAAAATAACTATCATTTAATTAAAATATAATTAAATTCAAAAACACTACTTAAAATATAAATGAGCACATACATTAAATTAATAAAAATTACCTTACAATCCTAATTACTTTAAACTAAATCATTGCTAATAACAATTTTCCCAATAATACCAAATTCCTTTACTTCCACCTTACATTTAGAACAATGCATAAAAATAATATCCTCAAATAATTAAAAATACTAACTTACCTCATCTTCTTCAAAATCTTGATTACTTGTCCGATAAACTTTTCTTTAGTTACGGCCATGGGATCCAAAAATTCACGAAGTCCCAGGTAGTAAACCTTTATCGCCTCCAAAATGTCGCCAAACTACCAGTTACCATATTGTAAAGATCAACCCTTACTTTTGAAAAGCAAAATATGATTTATAAATGATGATTTAGCATCTTTTCAGAATATTGTATTGAATATTTAAAAGAGTATTTCTTTAAATTTTTGCCTTCAGTCATTCTGTATGCTCAGTGGTTAATCTTGCAAAATAGTTTATAGATTCCAAAGAAGGATTTTTGAATACGTTAAGGTTATTTATTTATCTAAATAATTAATTTTATTTGGTATTGATCTTATTTTCAAATTAATGTACCATATATATGCATCATGATCATATTCATATTTTTCATATTTTTTTTCATATTTTTCATTTACCTTTAAAAAATTCATATGTTGATATTTAACTGCATTTCATGCTTTATGACTACAACCCAATACTTATTTACTTTACAGTGCCAAATGGAAAAATCAGACTGCTCCTGTGCCTGGAAGACCATTTCCCGGGAGGAAAAGATTGTTTCCCATTGTGTATGTATTAAATGTACCGCAATTTTGTAAAATTAAATATTATGTTCTCTGGAAATGCTTTGCTTGTATTAGTTCTAATTTTCTGGTTCAATGATGGTTAACTAAATTAGAATTTGTGGTAAAAATATATTTGCAGGTGCCCCTTGGCGAAAATTGTTGGTACATGGACACCAAGTCTGTGCAGTTCTTTGACATGTTATTTTGGCTTTGTGTAGCGGCGATTTTTGCACCAAAAGTCACCACTACACAAAGCCAAAATAACAAGTCAAAGAATTGCACAAACTCAGTATCCATGTATACATCAACCTATTTTCATTTAAAAAAACATCAGCGAATTGCACAAACTTGGCATTGCACACTTTTTTGACTTTCTCCATGCACACATTGATATTTTTTCAGTTAAAAAGTCAATGGAGCAGCCTGTTCTATGCTAGAGCTAAACAAAAAATATATAATCTTAATAAACTACATTTTAAATGAAATCTCAGTAAACTACATTTCAAATCAAACACTGAAATAACTTAAAAATGGAAATTCATTTTAGCGCTACACAAAGGAAATATCCACTTACCTTATTTAGAAATTTCCGTGTCTTCAGTCAAAGAAAATTCCTTAATAGCATCCAAAAACACCCTAAAATTATCTGAACTAAAATCTGTATACTGTCGTCGTCACATAAATTAACAGAAATAAGAGTAAAAAATATCCTCCGTAGTGCCAGTATCATCCAGCGTTCGACCATACGCATTTCCTTCACATAAACAGGACACTTATAATGTCTACTAAGTAAACCTTCATTTATACACCCGTCAAAAAATGCTTTTCTTCCCCTTTCATTTTAAATTGTACAGAAACTGCAAATTAATCTTACTACATTCAACCATTTTACCATGTAAACAACATAATAACCAATGTACTTCCAACATCCAACACACAAACAAGTCCTTACAAATCTTTTCCCATCATTCAAATTCACCACAATCATGCAACCAATTACATCATAATAGGGGTTCCATAACATTCAACTACTCAGGTTACCATAAATGAAACAACAACTTAGCGATAATCAAAGGGGTATCCTTAAATTTGCTATATACAATTTTTTTTAAGAAATAAAAATGTAAAATATTGAAGATTATAAATTTTTTTGAAAGTTGATGATTTCTTTAACTATGTGAAGATAGTCGTGTAGCCAAGCTTGTTGCTTAAGAAATTTCAGCTGTAATTTATTGAATAATATAATATTCTGGCTATTTTCAGATAAGGTGGATATAGCTCATTGATCATCACTAGTTTAATGTAAAAATTCTTCAATTTTTGAGCGGCAATATAACGGACTCTAGCTGTTCATAGGCATTGGCGAGTTCTAAGGCTAGAAGCGGTGGTCTCTTTACTATGGAGGTACCTAATAAGTGGACCACTGTTGTCTCCTATGAAGGGATGGACAAACTACATCCATGCCTTCTCCAGGATTCAAACCTAGGCCCTTCAATATGGCAGTCAGTGTGGTTAACCACTTTTCAGTCTGGGCGGCATATTGTAAATTTCAGTGTCTTTTAAAATCTTAGTGTGATTAATTTTGGGAACTTAAAGTAAGAATGCTTTAATTATAAGAAAGACATTTTCATGCTTATAATCATGTGTATACTAGCATGATCAGTTTTAATATTGTTGCGTTTCTGTTCGTGTTTATGAATTTGGAATGATTAACGACAACCAACAACACTTTATGAAGTATCAAAACACGATTTGTTAGCCAGTGTTATTCAGGACAGTTCCAAAACACGTAATCGAAAAACTGCGACAAATACGCTGAAACGATCAGCAACACAATCTTCAGGCTATAACGATGAAGACAGCTTCACGGCAAAGCACCAGAGTTCAGCTTCAGACTCAGTTTGGTTGTTCTTGGAACTCTACGTACTCTCGAGACTCTCCATGCTACAATTTGCGATGCACTCAACAATATACTCGATAGCCTCAATGATGCACCAGCTCGTGATACATTTGACGACCAACTAAGACTCACGATCAACTAAGAGACTCCGATGAGACACACTCGCTAAACGAGGCACTGACTGACTGCTACTCTGCGTACAGGCAGGATTTCTATAGTTTTTAGGCTGCCTTTGAGAACATTCTGGTCCAAACCAGTAAGAATTCCTTCTAGAAGGTTCTGCATCCGTCCATGGCATATTGCTAATTTTGTCACCAAATATGGCAAGTCTCCCTTCCCTTGCCATTTTCTGGCAACCCCAAACCCGTTTTGCAGGAAAACTATCTTGTCTCAACTGAGCATTTTGTAACAGTATAATACTTCCTCTGTCCCATAATAATAGTAGCAAAAGAAAATAAATGTAGAATGAAACATTTATTATAAAAAGAAATAGATTACATTAAAAATATTAGTCTTTGGAGTGTTCCTATAGTTTCTGGATTTTTCAATTATTTCGTTATTCCATTTTAAACTTCTAGTTGGATCCATAGTGAAGCTTTGCTTTCCCTATATGCATGAGCTTAAAATTATTGGAGCCATCATTCTTCATTGCTTCCAGCATAACTTAAAGTGATAGAAATGTATTATCCAGTATTTCAGGGAAAATATTATCAAAGGTTATTGCTTCTACAATGCCTCTTCTACTAAGAGGAATATATCTTAAGTTTTTTAAGTTTTTCTCCACAGTCTTTGCATTTATGTCCACAGTTTTGTTTTTTGAAAGAATCAAAATTAGCATAAGATTCACCTTGATAATTATTTTTGGAAGCAGGTTTCCAGATTCTTGATATGATCATTCTGTGCTTTAATTTGTTGTGCAGCTAACGTAATTGCACCTTTCTGCAACATTTCATTTTTCTTTTGATGCACCAGAAACTGGACAATTGCAATGCTTGAAAACTCTCTTTTTTTCCTTCTTACTTTTACAATGGGTTGATACTCAGCTGAAATAAAACAATTGATTTTGATCAGCAGATGAAATTAGAAAAATAGCTCATAATAATTAAGTTAACCAAAAAATTGAAAGATGTGTCAAAACAAATGACAGATGTCATGAAGCATTGATTTTGACTGAAAGTTTCACAATTTTGTGCTATAACATAACTTACAGCCGCATTTGACATTAATTCCCATTTAAATATCCACTTACTACTATTATTATGGGTCAGAAGGTGTATTAATATTTGAAATTTTAGAAATTACATTAAATAAGTTTCATATGAAATTTCAGAGTAGAGTAGGAAATTAGAATAAATTGCAGTTAAAATATATTTGTGTGCATTGCATAGATATTTTATTTATTAATTAATTATAAATTTCTGACTTCTATTTAGGAAAAAAGAGGAAGAAGAACCTGTAGTGCAAGATGAAGAAAGTCCTGATGAAGATGGGGCGCTTCAGAAAAAGGTAATTTATTTAAGACACATATTACGAAGTTTTATATTATTCAATAAGCTCTGTACAATACTGAATTTTTTTAGAGATGTATCATATAAACAATTTTATATGATACAGTTCTTAAAATTTGTAGCTTTGAAACAAGCGTATAGAAAATTTCTACATAATTTTTATTTTAGAATATAGAAGAGAATTATTTTCATGATTTTATAATAAATCAAATTACTGATATATGAATGATTATCACTTGAGGTAATATGCTGGTATCATTTTTTTTTTTTCCCCGATTTGGTCAAATTCAAACCAGAACAGCTTAATGGACAATTTAATTTTTTTACTTGAAAACATTTGAATTTGCTTAAAAACAGAAAATACATAGCTGATTATGTTAAAGATTTACCAAATGATCAATTATTCTAGTTTCTCTGAAGTATCTTCCGAAAAAGTGAACTTTTGATTTTTTATAGATTTGTGAATTAAATACTAAATTTATTTTGTAAATGTGTTTTTTCATCACTCTGTAAGCCATGCTTTCATATTGTTAGATGTGAAATTCTTCCTAAATAGATTGCATAATGCAATGTGAGTTAAAGTGTGAATATTTGTAAGTAGTACAGTATTAGTGTTTAAAGCATTGTAATTTGTTGCGTTATCTGGAGTGACATATAAATTAATGTTATGTATGCATAACAGAAAGATTTTCATTTCTCTGCACAATTCTCTGTAATGCCATCATTTTTTGCTTTCATTACCTGATATCATATTCAATTTTATGCAAGAATTAAAAAACAAAACATATTTATTTTAAAATTTAGAGTGCATAGAACTGCACAGGATTAGTTTATTATATTCATTGCATTTAAGAATATTGTTGGAAGAAATCTCAAAATTTACAAGAAATACTTGAGCCATTGAATTAAAAAAAAATAATAATCTGGCAAATTATAATCTTTCTAATCTGAAAGTTACATTTTTCCAACAGCATATGCAAATGAACTAGAACTTTTTGATGCAGAATAATTAATTTGTATAAAATAAAATATGTGGTACATTTTCATTATGTACCTACCATGCAGTTTGGTGCCTGTGGAAAAGAAACCAAACACATGCCAAGACCCAACGATAGTGCCATATAGGCTATTGTTGTGTGTCTATTTATGTATCTATAAGAAGTTCTATAAAAACCCACCAAAATGTGGTGCAGGTGTGTAATGGAAGAGTACCAGAAATGCTAAACGATCTGGAATTGATGTCTCAAACTTCAGCATTTTTGTTGGGTATTTTTAATGAAATGTCGGATGCCCGTATCATCACACAGGACTATGATGAAGATGCTACGAGAAATAATAATAGTTAGTAAAGTTTCAAATTACCCTATTATCTCAATTTGACAATTCTCTAAGAATTACATTTTAAACTGCTTAATGCTAGAACTGCAATGCATAATAAATATTTTTCAAGAGGAGAATATGCAGAAAAGAAATTACCCAATTACTTCTTTTACAAAACTTCTTCAGGCTCAATATAAGAGAGATTTTAAAAATCATTTTTTGCCTTTTAGCCCGAATAATAAATTGTTCTAAATTTTTCAAATTAATTTGAAGATTGTATATTAAAATGTCAGCTTTCTCGCAAGATCTCTATTTAGAAACATAAATCTTAAGAATATTTTCTATATAGTTATCTTTATTTTGATGAGTAATTAGAAAACAAAGATTTTGAGTGTTAAGATAATTTAAAAAATAAAATGAGCCAGAATGAATAAAGAATAAAGCAGAATGGCAAACAGAAGAGAAATGTCAGATATGTAATGCAGAGTTGCCAATTCTCCTGATTTCCAACCATACTACCGCTGACCCGTTTTTACAACATACTTCTTCTGACTTTATTAAAATTTCTCCCAATATTTATGCAGCTTGATTTAATACTTTGTTATTTACACCAAAAAGAAAAGTTATGTTTGGCATCTGAAAGTGCTTGGTTTTTCTTTTGATTATCAAACAAAATCAATTTGGTTCTTCAGTGAGTCATTTCATTGGTTCTATTTTGTTTGTGAGTCTGAAATACATGTCCAAAATCAATGTGTTCCAGTTCTCCAAGGATGATGAAGTGCCGCTGTAGGTCATCTGGCATATATTAGTCAGTGAGCTTAAAGCAAAATTTAAATTGTTATTTTGTTCATCTCTCTAGTGAACGCTGTGAATTTTACATGTTTCCGAGAAACAGTTTAAGAAATTGCAATTTTTTATCTTAGTTATCTCTGCAAAAAAGTAAAATTTTAATATACTTTTCAAAAATTGTACACAGGTGGCTTTCCTTCTATTTTGTCATCAAGGAAGTGTAATACATTTGTAATATGTACCCTTTTGCCATTGCAATTTTGTAGTTTTGCTCGTTGGAAGGACTGATGTTATTGAATATGTGTGTACAGAAGGACAGTATGAGTTGTGTTGGAGGGAAAAAATTTAATTTTTTCTATGGAAACAAAAATGTTGTGGCTTTATTTAGAAAATGTTTCCCAACAGTGAAATTTGCTAAGAAGTACTCGAGGACAAAAACGGCTGCAATTGTAGAAGAAATTAGTTCAAGAAATGGGTTTGAAAAGTAAATCTTCAGTTATTCATTCCATTGAAACAGCTCCATTCTGCCTCTCTGTGGATGGAAGCAATAAATACTGATGAAAAATTGTGTCCAATTAGTTTCTTTTTTAATCCAATCTTCAGAAAATTGAGTGTAGATTACTTTTTGTCCCCACTTTTTTTGGAAAGGAGATTTGATAGGCTTTCATATGCATATCTAATCATTGAAACTGTAAAAAAATTGCAGTTCTTCTGGATAATTATATAGCACTTATTGCTTGATTAAGGACACATTTTCCTGTTGTAAGTTTATTTTATGAAAAACGAATACTTATATTTTTGTCCTTCGACCTTAATAAAACTTTTTGCTTTTTTGTTCACTCCCTTTTGCCATCAGTTGCTTTTCTTAACACAGTTTTATAATGTTTAATTCCATTTATTCATGTTTTGCAATCGATGATTAGTGCAACACTGATTAAAATATTTTTCTGCTATTAGGCACAAATACTATAAATGTTTTTTTTTACTGTAAATTATTTTCTTTCTTTTTATATTTTTATTATTTAAAAAACCTTTTTATCATTGAGAAAATTGATTTTTGAGTGTCGTAAGTTGGCAATTAGGGTAATAGAAAGAAGCGATTATTATCCGATTACTTTTCTTAAGAAGTTATTCAATTTCTTCAGAGGGGTGAAAGAGCAGTCATTGTGGCCATCTTTGTTAAATCAGAGTCAAATTTTTTTCACTTACAAAGAAATATGAAGTTTTGTAAAATGTATTAGGAGTTTTGTGATATAAGAATGGAAATAGCAGGAAAATTTTGAATGTTTTAAAAAATTTCAAAATTTTACCATTGTTCTGAAATGTGGTAATATTTAAAAATAGAGTTTATACTGTAACAGTGTTGAAGTATTTTTATTCCTAAAGTTTTATTGCGATCTGTATGTTTTGGTTTTGTTTTTGATGTAGACAGTAATGTAACAGGTCACAAAGGAAAATTTCATGGTAGAAATACATTGGCTGTTATGTAAGAAATTTTAAACAGTGTTTCATTTTGTTAGTGACATAGAAAAATAAAAAGGATTTTTGTGTGTATGGAAATTTTGGTTGCAAATACTGGGTCATTTATCTGATGAATCAGTAAACTGTTTTTGCATATTAAAAAACTGCCAGCAATTTTAAATCGTATTTTTTCAATGTAATTCAGAGATAATTTTTAAAATGTGAAACAATGCATATTCATTTCACAAGATTTTTCTAGCTGTCTTCCTTTTTTTTCCCTTTGAGTAACAGTAGCCTTTTTAACAAACCCTCCACCTCCCTTCCTCCCTCTTTTTTTAATAAGAATATAGGAAATATTTAAAAGAAATCTTATAAATAAATACATTATAAGAGGTTACCCAAATGAAACATACTTATATTTAAGCAATTATATTTTACAGTTTATAATTATCATGCTTTAGCCCCATTTAAAATGTTCTCATGCAGCATCAATATATTTTTCCTAACATTTTCCTCAGTACTAGAAACGTGGAGATAGTTCTACAACTTTTGACATGGTATATATCAAGGTGAACAACTTATATTTTTTTAACCTCATCGACGTCGCTGTCACAGGGGAAGGAGGTTCCATGAAAATAGAAAAAGGTTTTCCTAAGCTTAGTGATTTGTGTGGCAGAAACATTGTTGTTCTAAAAAATTTGTTGAATGGCTAGAATTGTTTTAGAAATCTGATAAGTAGTTCTTCTGGTGATCTTTATTAATAGCCTGTTGCACTTTCTCAGTGTTTTCATGTTTTCCTTTCTTCTACTTGTCAATGAATTAAGTTCATAATAATCTTCATCTGAAACTTCACCATTTTTCAGTGTAGAAATGCACTCATGCGCTTATGGTTTATTCAAAGCATCATCTGTAAAGTTACTGAAAAATAACGACAACCTGCAATTTTCCTCAATTAAAAAAAAGAAAAAAGAAAAAATTGTGCATTCTTCGGCGTTTGTTGCCACATATCATAAAAAATGTAGATCATTGTGAGAAAAATCAGTATTGAAAATTAATTATTCAAACTGATGCCACCTGGCAGATGTGTGAGAGAAAAATTAAAATGGTGTAGCAGCATGATGCATGATTACAAAATACTTACTTGCAGTGTTGTTATTTTTGAGTGTCTCCATGTATTGCTTTAGGCAGTCTTGTATATCGAGAAAACAGGATTTTTAAGTAAAACAACTCATTATATTGATTTTATTTTTGTAGTTAATATGAATTGGATTAATTTTATCTTTAAATTACTTGTTAATTGTGTGATTTGGTAGTTTTATGAGATTTAGCGTAATCATAGTGAAAAAAAGCTTTATACTATATATATATATTTTGTAAGAATTGAAATATTTGGCTTATTTAAATATATTTATCATCATGTATTTGAAATATATTTAATTTTGATTGTCTCTTGTAATGTACATAATTAATAAATGCATTTAATTTTAGCCTGCTTTACAGTCAACAGTGGTTGCAACACCAAAGGATGTTAAAAGTAGAAAAGACAGTATTCAAGAACAAAACATTAATTCTAAAGTTAAGGCTAGGTAAGTTCAAAAGTGTGCTTTTAAATAATGCACAATTCGTACAAAAATAATTTGAACAGCCTTTAATTAATGTTTAAACATTTTTTGTTAAAATTATTTGTCTGTGTCATCTTTTGCAGTATATTATACTACTGGTAAGGAAATATTTATTAGTAATATTTACTATGTAATTAAATTTATGACAGATATTTAATTTTGAGTGCAATAACATGGCAAATGTTTAATGATGTTATAGCAAATATTAATGTTGTTTATAAAATAATTAAATATTTTCCATGTAATAAAAGTTGTGATTGTTTATAGGTATTAGGATGAATATATCATGAAATTATAATTCTTAAGCTTCTGGAATCTGAATTTTATTTAGTTCTTTTTTAAAATATGCTTTTGAACTAAAAAAAAAAAAAAAAAAAAAAAATTCTTAAGCATCTGGAATCATAATTGAATTTTAATTAGTTCTTTTTAAAATTTTGGTTTTGAACTTCCAAAAAATGTTGAATATATTTATTATATATTGATATGCAACTTAATTAAAAAAATATACTGTTCTTTAGAATGATATACAGTTGAACTGTGTCAAAAGACAGTATTCAAGAACAAAACATTAATTCTAAAGTTAAGGCTAGGTAAGTTCAAAAGTGTGCTTTTAAATAATGCACAATTCGTACAAAAATAATTTGAACAGCCTTTAATTAATGTATATAGTTAGCTAAATTGAGTTTTTCTTGATCATCAGTATTAATAAGTTTTGTGTGTCTAGAAATACTGATAAAATGAATAAATAACTCTAAAATTGTCTAATTAGACTGATAGAGTTTAATCTAAAATTCAGCGTACTTCCGTATTATACCGGTCCCGAAGATTGAATTGCTAATCAACCAAGATATCTCCTTGAAATGTCGCCACATGTTTTAATACCTCGCTACATGTTACATCTCGGTGGGTAAGTGATTAAATTTTAGGGGGTGCTGTAATAAAGAATAATCAAATTCAGTTATCTCAAAACAAACTTCCAGCATAAGAAACTACTAATTTAGGTTAAAATAACATACTGAATAATGATTATTGGAAAGGTCAAACAATAAAAATCAGCATTATATTTGTAAATTTTGTAGGACTAGTTTCGATGGTTTACCCACAGAACCATCATCATCAGCTGCCAAAGTGAGGACCATCAAAACTAGTCCTTACTTCCTTAAACCTTCGAGTCATTTAAAACTTAAATCATCGAAACTAGTCCTGCAAAATTTGCAAATATAATGCTTATTCTTGTTGTTTGACTTCTGCAATAAACTACTAATTACTAGTTTCAATTATATAAGCAGAAAATATTTCGTTATTTCATTTTAAGTGCATAACTGTGAAAAGAAAATCTGAGACTTTGACAATGTTAATGCTATGGAATGTAAACATTTTTCATGAAAATAATAGGTAAATGTATAGCTCTGAATAACTCATCAAAACTTTTCATATTTTCATTAACATGCTGCAATTCTTCTTTTGAAAGGAAAAATAGTTTTCTGGTTTGGAGAGAAATATAATAAAGTAATTTATGTTGATGGGATTACATGTGTGTTTCTTCAGCATGAGTGAAAATTCAGATTACTAATCAGTGTACGACAGTTGGTACACTGTGCAAAAGAAAAAATGGGACAGTTCTATATCTCCCGTTCTATTAGGCCAAAATTAGTTGACGAAATTCCACATGTGTTTTTTATGTCTCGAAAACACGACTTAGGTATTAGATATATATATGTATTAGATATATATATATAACATTATTCTAATATAGGTATTTTGACACAAAATTGGACTTTTTCTGAAATGACGTGCCAATTTTTTTCCCATATTTCAATTCTGTGACTCAAATTATACCAAACTGCCAAGTTTTGTAAAAATCGAGTAGTTTTTAAAAAATTACCTCTCAAAATTTTAGCTCCTCACTGTTAATTGAATTTGATATATATTCATTAATATCTCTTTTTTGTTAAATTTATTTGATTCTTCATTTCACATTTTCAAATTTAGATTCATTCGAATAAAATTGACCCATTTATTTAAGATTTATTTTTTGGATTTGTATTTTTAAATATTTTTTATAAATCTTTTGAAAAACATTTTGTATTATAATCTATACAGTTTTTACCATCATCTTAAAGCAGATGAATTTCTAAGTATACGTGCAAAATATTAGAGTTTTTAATTCAAAATTTCCTAGGATATATGTGAATTTACATATTGGCGCATTTTGAAATTTAGCATTTTTTGTTATAAGCGAATATAATGTCAAATGTGATGTACGCTCTTTGTTAAAAAATTATTTGAAAGTATGAGTGAGTGAATTATTCTTGGTGCAAACTAAAAAAAAAAATGGGTAAAGATAAATTTTGAATTTTTCTGTAGTTTTCGCACCAACTTTTACAAAATTTAATATTTAGGCATAATTCATTATTTAAATTGGCATGTCATTTCAGAAAAAGTCCGATTTGTGTCAAAATACGTATATTAGAACAGTGCTATATATAAATATAATATATATATCCTAAGTTGCGCTTTCGAGACATGAAAACCGCAATTTGAATTCTGTCAAAGGGGTGCTAGCTGAGAAATGCTGTTATTCTGGAAACAGCATTTTACGTTGAATCACTTTTCAAATTGTTGCAACGAAGTATTATCGCCATGCATTATGTTTAAAGAAATTAAATAATGAAGAATCTGCATGAATTTATGTATGTTTCTTGCATTTTGAAAAAAAAAAAAAAACAGTACTTAGAGTCATCAAATTTTGAATAATGTGTTCCACCTGAATATGGGCACCTGCAAACCTGTATTAGTTTTTATTGTCTATTTTATAGTTTTTAAACTTTAGCAAATTTTTAATTAAAAAACTCAATGATTTAAAGCGAGCAGTGGCAAAACTGTACTGAATGAAGCATTTTTATCTCCAGCGGCCATCTTTCGGAATTTCTAAAGGTGTTTTGTTTTTAAATATTTTTAGCCCAAATGCTCTTGAAACCTGTATGTGTGTGTAAGTGGGGGAGGGGACCTTTTCTGTATAATATAAAATCTGAAAGTTTTCAGATTTTTTTTTTTTTAATTTTATTTTTAAATACCACTTTTTTCATTAAATTATATTTATAAATTATCACTCTTAATTATATTTATTAAGTGTTTTAATAAAAATATAAAATTATTTCTAGAAATCGCCGAATGTTGGGTATGATACTAGGCACTTTGCAGAAGTTCCAGCATGAGGAAAAGAAAAGAAAACAACAAGTAAATTAAAGTTTTTTTTTTTTTCATTGCTTTATTATAAACTTTAATGAATAGTCTTTTATTTTATACTGGATAACATTATATGAATGTTATCCAGAATGAACTACGAAATGTATACGATTTCAAACCTTTGATTTTGCAGTTGTAAAGAGTAATCTGAAATTCATGCATATTATTTGATCATCAGTTAACAAAAATTTATTCGTTACTGCTTGTCAAACTACAGTTTGCATGTTGTTATTTGGAATGTATATTGGGATCTGACATTGATTTGAAGCTATGCATGTGTTTTAATTTGATATTATGTAGGTTGCTATTTATATTTCTGGCCTTGGCAACAGTAAGTGTTGCTAGGTGACTGCAGATAATTCCAATTGAAAGCTTGATATTTTTAAATGTAACTTCTTCAAAACATTTTGCCATTTTAGCGTGATTTGTGTTGTTTACAGTAAATTGAAAAATTCATCTTGGGCAAAAAATGGAATTGACCCAGGAACATTTTCATACGATTATTTTTCATTACTTTCAATGTGGATTATCAAGACAAGAGTGCTTTGAAGAACTTAATTCTTGATACAGCAATTAAACACCTTCCTACAGCACTGTAAAAAACTGGTATAACGAATTCAGTTGGGGTTGACATTCACTCCAGGATATATTCCGTTAAGGTCGTCCAAAGTCGGTTATTGTGCCAGAGAATATCAATGCTGTCCGTGAACTGACAAAGCAAGATCATCATGTGACATACCGTGAGATTGAGACATCTTTGGACATTAATATGACAAGCATCAATAAGATATTACATGAACATTTGGCCATAAAAAAGATATATGTTTTAACCCTTTCACGACAGGTGTCCCCTATACGCATTCCCTAAGAACGTCTCTTACAGCCGGGCATCCCATCCACGCATCGATAGAGACAGCATTCAGAGGACGGGTGATGCGTATATGCATTTTAAGCTGGAACGTTTTTCTGAAGGCCACTAGATGGCATTCTATGTCCATTACTTTTGAAATGAACACAGTTTTAAGTTCCTGACCTTGAGTTTGATATATTCTGTCTGACTTTGGTATTTTACTCATCAACTGTTGCGAGGGTGGGGGGAAGCGAAAGCGTAAACAGAGGTGGGCTCTTTAAATTGCCGTGTGCGAATATAAATGTTCGCGTGTCTGATTTATATCCAATTCCTTTTTTAATTCTATTTTTTCCTCTACTATATGCGGTCTTTAGGGCTACTAGACAGCCCAGTCAGTTTTGCATTGACTTCAGATATATTCCCGTTTTTTCTCTTTTTATTTCGGGAAGTCCCACCTCTAGTCTATTATGGCGCGAAGGCGCTATTTATCAGAGGAAGAACCCTCATATGGTTAATGAACCATTTAACTAACGCAAATGAGAGTGATGATTCTTTTTCTAAAGATTTAAAAAGTGATACTTTTTCTAAAAGTTAAAAAGTGATACTTCTCTGTGCTTCGAGATTTACCACAGTCTTCATTTTAAATTTTGTTACTTCTTACTGTAAATAGTCTTTATTGTGTTGTTTTATTAATTTTAGACTGTATTGATGAATTTTATCAATTAAAACTTTGGAATAATTTGAATAGCGCTTCCGAAAATTATTTTACAAGATAAGGAAATTTTTAAGTATATTTTCATGTAAAATAAAGAAAAAAAAACGTTATTAAGTGTTAATTTTAACGTATATAAGAGTTCAAGTAATAATCTAAAATGATACCAAAAATAACAAGGCTAAAAGTGAAACTTTTTTTTTCTGATTTTTTTTTTTTTTTTTTAAATAAAATTAGGCTTAGCGATGCAAAACCTCCGTCCTGTACAGTGACTGCTTTCGATTCCCTTCCGTCCCGCACGAGCGTCAAAAGGTTAAAAGAGATTAAAATGCCCGTCGATCACGTCAGCCACCTTATTTCTTCTTCCAACTCTGCTCTTGTTTTTTTGTGCACTTTGTCTGTCTCATCGTCGCAGTTTCTTTTGGCCTAAAATTTTTTATCTAAAAAACATTTGGTGATTTCAAAATGTGTGGAAGGGAAATTCTTACTTATATTCTTGTTGTTTTTTTTTTGTTAAGATCACTGCCAGTTGTTTTCTTAAATTTGGCAGATTGTTCAAATGCAATTAATATACCACCATTTTAAATTCAGGCACTTTGGTATGAAGCACACTCTCAAATGGCAACTTAACATTTTTTTTATTTTTCAATAAATAATAAAAATCTGTATACTCAACTGAGACTCCTATTCATAATACTGTGGGATTTGGACTCTTCAAAGAATCGTGTTTCTAGATTTCCCTTTTGTTTTTCTTTCTTGTTTTCCATTTTTGTACTTGTTGGTTTCGGCAAATTCTAAACAAAGGTGCGCCGTCGCGAAAAGGTTAAAAGAGATTAAAAATGTCTGCCACTTTCTGGCAACCCAAAGCCCACCATTGACTCACACTGCTCAGCCAACATATTTCTTTCTCCACTCTGCTAGAGGAGCTTTGTTTTTGATCCACTTTGTGGAAAAGCTGTCTCATCACGTAGGCAATGGACATTTCACAACAATATTTGTATCAATAAAGGACATTCTATAAAATATTTTATATCTAAAACATTGGTTCATATATTTAATGATTTCTAACGTTATTGGTTGGAGGGGAAAATTCTTAATTATATTCTTGTGTGTTTTATCAGTTTATAAAGATACCCTGAATAACTGCCAGTTGAAAAAGATTTCTTAAATTTGTATTGCAGATGCAAAAGACTCTTATTTTTATTAATGAAGATGATCAATTAATGATACTGCAATTTCAAAATTATAATAAAAGAGTTAAAAAGAATATTAAATATAGTGCAAAAACTTATGGCATTTAGTTGTAAATTCAGTAGCACTTTGGTATGAAGGCAAGCTAAAATAACTCTCAAATGGCAAAACTTAACAAACAAGTGAATAAATTTTTATATATTTTCAATAAATAAATAAAAATCTGTATACGGCACTACTGAACAGATAAAAACAAATGTTTGATAAAAGTGGAAACAAATACACACCAATATTTACATAAATTACAGAAATAGTGTGGGATTTTGACTCTTCACTTCCCTCAAGAATCGTGTTCTCTAGTTGCCACTTTATCCAAATACCTAAATTTCAAATTCAGATCCAAAATCTGAAGAAGAAATAGCAAAAAATAGGAAGAAATTTGTTTCAGTAATTAATATCTGTTTGTCAGATGTTGAAAAATGGCATTTATGTATTTTCCCAACTGTTATATATCAACCATTTCGGCTTAAATTTGAAGGAATAGATCATTCTTTATTTAATTAGATGATCAATAGACGTATGTTACCAGCATAGCACGTAAAAAACTTAAATTATGAGCTAAATTAAAAAATTTCCTAAGAAATAATTTTATTAGAACTAGCAGCAATCATTTTGGCAATTAAAAATCCTAATGACATTTCAAGTAGCCATAAAATTGTTTCCTTCTTTATGAACTTGTCTCTACATAAATTCAGTCAATATAACTGGAAAATAACTTTTCCTTCTTTTCATGAATTAGTTGGCTTAGTGGGGATCAGTGTTACATAAAAACAAAACAAAGATATTATAAGTGTGCTGTGATATGACATTTCACTACTGTCACTAAATCCCTCTATTGGGCAACAGTTTTTATTTTTTGATAATTATTGACAGAAAAATAAATAACTACCAAAAAGCTATCAAGGGTAATATAATCTAAGTAGCTATGAAGAAGTCACAATGTGGCTGTGTTTAATTGATTATCTTTTTTGATGCAAAAAATTATTAAAAAAAATATTTTTCAGCAGTAATGAAAAACCTTTTCTACCCGACTTTCATATAGTTAAAATTTAACTGTGAAAACTAGTTTAATTTAATGTTGACATATTAAAAGAAGTGCAATATGCATTTTAACTTTTTCCGTTTCCTGGAAATCTCTTAGGACAGTATGTCTCAATCATATTGTCAATTGGTATTATTTGTCCCAGTTGTCTAGGATATTACCCTTTTTCAGAAAACAAAACTCTAAAATTAACGGTTATATGTAATTGTGAATATTACAAAACATAAACTCTGTCATATGCGCTAGTTCATATACCCCAAAAGTTTTCATATATGTTTCATAAACACAAACATAATATATCAGCATGTAGTAATTTGATCGCTGGGGGGACATATTAACTTAATCCACTGTTAAATATGATTGGGACAATATATCCCACAAAAAGAATTTATTCAAAATTTCTTAAATCCAGCATTAAAAATGCTAAATTACAACTTAATAAGAACTGTTTTATACTAAGTTTTCCTTAAATATGATTGCACTTACTGTAAAATTATAAAAAAATAGGCGAATCAAAACTTGAGTGATCGGCGTGCTAAAAAAGTATGCCATCTGCAATATAAAAGTGTTGCCAGGTATCTTTAGTCATATTTGTTCCCTAATTCCTTAAAAACACTGCAAACGTAAAACCCATTTAAAAGTGGATTTTATTTACCCAATAGAGTATGAAATCCAATCTCTGGGATGTATGTCCCATTAGAACCAAAAGGGTTAAGCCCCTTTTTTAATTAAAAGAATTATGCATTTTGTAATGGGAAGAAGCAAATCATATTGTTATCTTAAGTGACCTCTAAAAGACTTTCCAAAGGAATTATTGCAGTGGAATAAATTTTTTGTTATGCATCTATTTATCCACATTGAGATAAATTTCAATAGGTTTGAATAATTGTTCTTTTGTGCTCTAAAAGGAATCCCACCTTATTTTACTTTTTATGTACAAAGTTTTTGTTCAGTTATATTAATCATTGCTATAAAATTTTTTTAAATGACTTTTTTTAAGGATTTAAAAAGAGCTGAAATAGAGCAGAAGGTTGAAGCTGCTGCTGCTGAAGAAAAAGAACGAATAAAAAGAGAAAAAGAAGAATTATTTCATACGCGACGAGAAAAACAGACTCAACTACGATGCTTGGAAAAGAAATTAGAAATAGCTGAAATGGTAATATTTGTGTCTAAGAATAAAATCATTTTCATTATCTGTTTACCTATTTCAGATCACTTTGAAATGTCTAGAGTACTTCATTTAGAGCTGTGCAGTTATAGAACTTAAGAAATTAGGAAAAAAACTAAATAAATTTGATGTACATAAAAACCGCATGAGTAATGTACTAATTGTTGTCATGAAAGCATTAATGTATTTAATCAAGATATAAGCTCAGTTAGGGTAAAGTGGTTTAGCAGTATAGGAAAATATGTGTATTTTTAAGCTTACTCATTCAAAGCTGATCATTCAGATAAATTAAATTTATTAAAAATGGATTTTGTGAAAATTCCTGTTTGTTATTTTCTTGTAAAGTACGTATGTTAGCAATCATCATCAATTTAAAATTCATGCAGGTTTCTTAGCTGTCCTTACAAGTGTTTATAAGTCCTTATATTTAAAAATAAAGTATAAAAGCCCTTATAAGTGCTTACTTTTTCTGTAAAGCACTTATTTTTTTGCTTTTAGTGCTCTTTTTTTTTTTTTTAATTAAACGAGCATGCACCCCCCCCCCCCCGGTATTAAAGCCGAAACTATAACAAATTTCTTAATTATCTGGAATGTCGGATGGTGAATCATACTCCCGGAAATAGCTTTTTGCCCCTTTCTCTGCATTAACGTAACCTTTGGTGCACGCGAGTGCAGACAGATGCACATCGTTCTATTGGTCAAAGAATTGCGAAAGTGGTAGAAAATTCCAGTGCATTTTGTATTCTTTTCCTCCCATCCAAGACTACACACTTTTGAGTTCCTATCAAGATTTTGATAATTTGCATCCGTGTTCCACATGGTCAGTTCATATTCGTGTTTATTATTATCGTTATGCTTATTTTATGAGCATATGTATGAATATTTATGATAATATATTTGCAGTAACTGCTGAAGTACAGATAAACTTCAAAAATGGGTAAGTGTGTTTTAACACAGATTAGCTTTCTGAGGAATAATATTCGGAATGGCTTTAAATAAAGGCTTAATAAAAAACCGAATAGTCAAAGGTTTTTTGGGGGGGTCAATGCATTATACAGTACGGAAGTTGGGGGGGTCTTCCCTTTTCTCTGCAAAATCTCGAATATTGAAACCATTTCAGTTTAAAGTAAAACAAGCAATGAACTTTTTTTTGTGTGTGTGTGTGTGACTTTTCCGGTCTACCCAACCCAAGCGAGGAATGATTTTATTCTGGAAATTTAACGCAGTCTATTCAAAGTTAGAATGAAAAACACACCAGATTAGTAAGTCTCCTTCTTTTCCTTTATTTAGTTATTTATTCTCTGAATACCGGCAGCTTTTGATTCCGATTGCATAATATCACGTGCGGAAGAATTAAACCGCACGTGTTGTGCAATAACGTTTGCGATATTTTGCGGAGATAATTAATTTTGATGTTCAGTCTGAGATATGTTTATGAGCACTTAAAAGAGTTTTCAGCTCTATTGCGCTATTTTTATATGATGCACATATTGAAATGTCTAAAGCATTATTTAGCTGAAAAATCTAAAGAATGGCTACAATATACGCCAACTCCTCTTTTTCCAGTTACACTCGACTATCCGGAATTTTCAGATATTCGGCAATTTCCGAGTATGCCGGTTACTTAAGCTTTTACTGTTAAAGGATGACTGCATGATTCAATTTCCCGTCTTCTGAGAAATGTTCCTCTTTTTACTTATTTTTACTTAAATTACTTTTCTTGCAATATCTGTTAAGGGAAAATGTTATACTATGAAAATTTAGAAAATGTTCAGAATTTTGATTTAAGTTCAATTATTTAAATATTAATATGAGTGGGAAAATAAATTGTATTTATTTTTAGATGCCAAGTGAATGTCGTAAATATGGCTTGTTATTTATTTTCTCTATTTTGAACTGAAATTTTATCAATAATATTGTAATATAGTTTAGGTCTGCATAGTTTTTTTTCCCTCTCATTCTAAACTAGTTCTGTAAATTGAACTATTTAAAATTTAAAAAAAAATGTAATTATTTTCCGTGGTTGAGTAATGCTCATTCTCTCTTAATAAATACCGAATTTCTCATATTTTTAATTACAAGTCTAATTTTTCTTTTATGGTTATGCAGTTGTGTATAATGTAATTAGACAGGTGCTTATTATTTTCTTAAAATGTGCTCGAAAAGGGCTTATAGGTGCTTATTTTTTTAACTAAAATCTTGCTACAAACCCTGTCATGGGATGAGGAAATTTGATGCTTGTTGAATGTTTGGTTTTCTGATTCATTCAATTTACCAATCAACAGATAGCATGCTATGTCGATTTGAATGGACAGGGCTTGTTGAGGATCCACAGTGAGCATGTTAAAAGATAGGTGCAGTGCTTTGAAACACCATATCAAATCCTTAATTTTGAGGATGATAATTTAAATCATCTTAATATAAGCCAGTAGTGATACTGAAAAAAAAAATCATTACACCACTTGTAAAAGATTTGAAGATCACAGGAAATTCTTGCATCGATGTTTCTTACTCGATTGAGTAGTTTGTCACATTACTGTAAAATCTTTCTTTATTTTTTTCATGCAACTGTTTGAAGGCTTTGAATTTGTTGTGCAACTAACTTCTCGTGCAATTGATTTTACATTTCCTGAGCTTATGTTTGATATATTCTAAAGAAAAAAAAAAAAAAATTAGAGAACCCACCAGTGGCCATTTTTTAGTGATGGAGGAAGACTGAGAGTTAGTTATAGTGTTTCATGAAAAACATTCCGACTGACTTTCATGCATTGTTAGTGCCCTTATGTAATGCATTACTCCTACCTAAAAAGCTTTGTTATTAAATTCAGTTTTATTGTTTCTATTCATTAGTATTAAAAATGCATTCATTACAAGTCAATTAGTGTGCAAAATAATTTTTTCCATGGATTACGCTAAGATTCATAAGTTTCATAAGCTGGGTTTGCTAAAATAGCTAAATGATATAATATTAATTTCTAGAAAAATCCGTTAAATTCCCAAAAAAGGAAAATAATGCAGTGTTGGGTTAGACACCATTATTCATTATTTAATTGAAAAATTTCCTTGGTAAAAATATTTTTAAAAAACATGATTTTTGTATTTTCTGCTTCCTGTAGTGTAAATATTTTAATGTTAGACAATGATTTCAAATTGGTGGACCGCCTGTAGACCCTGAAGCAGTTTTACGTGGCTCTCAAATACATTTTCTCGAAATTAATTAGCGTTAATGTTATATAAAATTTTATGGTAAGAATTTTAGTGGTTTTGAGTCTAATTTTATGTTTTCATTATCAGTAAAAACAAATGTAACATCTCAGAAAATCTACAGATGGAGCTAATTAATTCATATTGTGATACAACAAATCTTATTCTCTTAGTTATGAATTTTTTCAATGAGAAGAAAGCTTTGTTTGAGAATATATTAATATGTGAATGGATTTTTCTGCAGCAAAAAATTAATAAGTCTAAAACAGTTACCAGACTGACCAATGAGCAATTATAGTTTGTGATATAGTTTCTAGTAGTTTTCTCCAGGGTTACAACTTTATTCAAATCAAAACACCATAAGGTATAAAGAAGTTTATCATTATTTGCATACAAATGTGTGTACTTTTTATGTATGCATCAAAGAGAAACTTGATATTCACTGGCCATCAAAATTAAAGGATAATAAGAGAAAAAATATGCTCACTAAGTTAGTGTTGCAACTAGTGTCTAATGTTGTAATTATTTATGTCAATTAAATACAACTGAACATAAAATTGCACTTCAATGCATAATTTAGCACCGGAAGTAAGCAAATTCGGTGACTGACAAGGTGTGCAACAGACACACGTTGGAATTCCAATCTGTAATGTTGTTTAAAGGGGATATGGTTTCTGAGAGTGATCAGCATTCAGTAGTTATGGCTCAAAGCCATTTAAGTGAAGGATCAAAAGTTGTGAATAATTAGTAGAATCGAGGGAGATCAGCCAAGATTTGAATATCCCTTAAATTGTCATATCAAGAGTTTGGAGCTGCTTTTTCAAGTGCTGGATCATTTGATAAACAGCCTAGTCAAGGGTGCCTAAGAACAAAACTTTATGAGTAGACCATTTTCTGTTGCAGTTGGTTCGAAGGAACTGGAAGCAACTACAAGAGATTTGATTTTAGACCTTCAGGCTCCCACACTCACTTAAATTAGGCGTTTTACTGCTGCACAAAGGCTTAATGAGAGCCCTGTTTAAACTCTGTCCGAGTGTTATTTACTGATGAATTCAGATACAGTGGTTGCCAAAATTGTGGACACTTTTAGAAATTTTTATGTTTTTGAACTTTGTATGCTTATAGAAAACGTTACGTTTCACAAAATGCAAACTTGTATATAACATTTTAAAGAGAATTTATTACTGAATTCAATACAAAACAAATTCAATTATTTGCAATACAAAAAAAGTTAAACGACAATAATTATTGATATACATTAGATAGTGATGATTGCAGTGAGTTATCAGTACATCGACATTTCTTTGAGCTGTCAAGAGTTTTTCGTTATTACATGATGCCAGGAAACAATTATAGCCTCAGTTAGTTCCCTTTTATTTGATGGGTGCCTCATTCGGACAAGAGTTTTCAAACAGTACCACAAATTTTCAATAGGATTGAGGTCAGGACAGTTTCCTGGCCATGACAACAATTTAATGCTCTTTGTATGAAACCATACTTTTGATATTTTGGCCGTGTGGCAAGGAGCAGAATCCTGCTGAAAAATAAACGAAGCATTGTTGGGAAAGATATCTCTGATGGAAGGTAGAAGTTTTGGTTCTAGAATAGTGTCAATTTGTTTCTGGCATTCAGTGTCCCATCGATGTCATGAAGGCGACCAATACCATTTGCTGACATGCATGACCACATCATAACACTAACTGGGTTCTTCACAGTTGCATGAATGCAGTCAGGATGTAGCTCTTCTCCTATTCTACGTCTTACATATTTTCGCCCATCACTACTGAATAACAATATCTTAGTTTCATCACTCCATATAACTTGTGACCACTGATCATCTGTCCAATTAATGTGTTCCTTTGCCCACTGTAGTCTTTTTTTTTTCGTTGCTGAAAATTAAGATAAGGCTTTTTTTGTGGAATTCTACCTCTCAGTCCAACATCTGTTAATCTTCTCCTGATTGTTCTTGAACTGACAGAAACACCAGCATCATTCAGATCACTTCTGATGGCATTTTTATATCTTGGAGACATGGTCTTTTTATTCTTCTGTCATCAATAGATGTGGTGCACCTTTTTCGGCCTTTACCTTCTTTGTTTTTTATTGAATTTGTCTCCTGATATCGTAAACAAAACTTTCGGACTCCAGATGTAGTCACTGAACCACCCACCTGTCTTGCAATTTCAGCATAGGAAAGACCACTTTCTCGTAACACAGTCCAATCTACTCTTTTATTTGATGTCATTGCTTCTGGACTAAATATTAAAAATTTTTACAAAAATTCCTACTTGTAATTGCAGTGTATAAGAAACAGGTCCCCCTTCTACAGAACAAAGCAAAATAATGAATTGTTTCAAGTGTAAACATGATGTCAGCTTCTACTGGCAGTTACTAACATTTGATTGGTTCTCAGAACAAGAACAGTGATTGGCCAGGAAAGCTAGACATTACAAACCACTTCATAACTGTGTTTTCTATTTATATTAAAGTACATATAACTTTTTTTTGTATTGCAAATAATTGAATTTTTGTGTTTTGTATTGAATTCAGTAATAAATTCTCTTTAAAATGATATATACAAGTTTGCATTTTGCGAAACGTAACATTTTCTATAAGCATACAAAGTTCAGAAACATAAAAATTTCCAAAAGTGTCCACAGTTTTGTCCACCATTGTATATAGTCTTAATGGTGATTCTAGGCTTGAGGAAAGAACATTCATCTCACCTTCCCTTGTCTGTGAAATATCACGTTTCCGCAACCGCATTTTAATGGTTTAGGAAGGAATCATGACGAATAGATGGAGCTGCATATCTTCCAGGGAGGTTCTGTAAATGCTCAGAGATATGTGGGCAATGTTTTGGAACCCCTCATCTGACTCTTTATAGATGATGTTGGCCTAGAGTGTTTAACTAAAGGATGACAATCCTCGTCATCATCAAGCATATCTAGTGTCAGAATATTTGCAAATAGAAGATATCAGTAGAAATAGAATAAATGTGGGTTTGATGCTGCAGAAAAAGTAAATAAATAAGAAAAAAGTCTGTTTATGAACTGACAAAGACACAAATTTAAGTTTAAAATTAAAAAGTAGTATTAGAAAAACAATAAAAGTAATCTGTTTCTTTATGAGTCCTATAATTTTCTTTTTGAATTTCTCTTTTGACCTGTGGAACCCTCAGATTTGACTGCCAGGACCTAGGGTTTCGCAGAACAAAGTTTGAAGAATACTGTCCTAGGAGATTGTAAATGACATTGGGTTGTTTCACTGCGTTTAAACATGTTTTTTAAATGTGCACCTATGTCGTAGTTTCAGATATTTGAGCTGTTTCATAGTGTGTATGATTAGCCCTCAGCATTGCTGCGTCAATCTCAAATTGTTCAGGCATCAGAATATGATGTTACACAAATTCCATTGCTTGTAAGATAACCAAACTTTAAAATCTTAGAACCCTTGTAGTCTTGCTAGAAAATAGCCATCTAATTTTTTTGTTCCAGCATCTTTCATAGAATTTGGTCAGTTTTTGATAAAGGAATGTTATAAAATACCTTTTGTGCTTTTGTGAGAAATTCGGAACAAGACTGACACTGCATAGAACTGACAGCTTCTCTATCAGCGCAAGATCGACAAGGCAGCTTGAAAATCAGTTTCAACTCTAAGCTGTGGTTGGTCCTGTATCAAATTTTTAAAATCCTGTAGTCAAATACATTCAGTTTTGATCATTTGTTGTTGCTTATAATATTTGGCTGCAAAATACAGTGCGCATTGCTGTGATAACTGTGTGAATATCACAAATATTCATCATTCCTCTTATTATTTTATCATTATCAAAATTTCTGTGTTATCATCATTATCAAAATTTCTGTGTTATCATTTTAATTCTATGCAGTGTCAGTCCTATAAATGTAATGCCCTATTTTTCACTATATAGGTCTTGTCAGAACTTGTATGCCTTTATTCCAAAAATATTTCAAGCAGTTTTGAATATTAAAACTGTTCTTGTGCTATATCAAATACATATTTCTTCATGTTTTTACATGTTTCCATTATTTTAGATTGAACTATGTATTATTTTGAGAGCTATATAAGTAATTATTATTATTATTATTATTATTATTATTATTATTTTTTTTTTTTTTTTTTTTTTTTTTTTACTAGCATGAGACGTGGGAAAAATAACCAAAAGTATACACTTCACTTTTTAAAGACAAAAGCCAATCCTCCAATTTTTTTCCTTCCTGCCTCTCATAATCCTGCTTCAAAGAAAGAATTAGAAGAATCCACAGCTAAGACACTAGGTAATGTATTTCAGATTTTATTATTATGCAATGTAATGCTGATACTTTTTTGCTACTTAATGTTATTTAAATTAAGTAACTGAAGTATATGGTGTTTTTTTTATTAACAGTTAATGTTTGGCTATAAATGAAGTGAAAAGTTAGTGTAGACTAAAAATAATAAGAAAAATTTAGTTAAAATATTAAAAACCTTAGAGCCTCGTCAGTCATAGAATCGCAATAAACTTTCGAAAACTTAGCTGTCATTCTTCCATCATTGATTTAGCTTTAAAATGTGTTTTTGAACTATTTTTGTTGATATGGTTTGTACATGTTTACATAACTTGATAAACTGAGAAATTAATAAATATTTTTTTCAATTGGATTTAATCTTGGGTCATTCCAAAAGTTCTGCAGTTTTTTAGAATCAAAACATATTTTTTTCTAATTCTGTTTTTGCTGATAAAGAGTGACTTTGATCAACTCAGTTGCTTGCATACAGTCTTTTCTGCTCATGTTGCATAATTCTGGCATGTGTTGTGACATGATTTTTTTGTCTACTGCTGATTTAAAGGCTGAAAACCCTGAATGCTAGTCAGGCTGCTCATAAAATTTGTGCCATATATGGACAAAGTGCTGTTTCTGATGACACAGTTCGAAAGTGGTTTGAGAAGTTTAAAAACTGAAATTTCAACCTTGAAAATGATACCCACTGTAGATAACTATCCTGTGTAGACAAGTATCTGTTAAAAGCAATTATTGATGAAAATCCATATTGCACAGTTCAGGAACTGCCAGACAGACTAAATAAATGTGCTAATACTGAATATGTAAGCTGCTGTGGTGTATGAGTAACCTATACTTAAACAGAAAAGAATATTATTGTCCAAGTTTCAGCCTGTGATTCTCTGCTGAAAAGAAATAAAGAAGCTCCTTTTAAAAAAAGCTCATTCCTGAAGTTCAGAAGTGGGTACTATATAATGTTATGAGAAAAAGATCATGGAGTAAGACAAAAGAACTGCTTTAATAACATTGAGAGAGGTTTGCATCTCAGAATAGTAATGCTTTGTGTGTGTGATAGGATTATAATGAAACTGTGTACTATGAATTGTTGCCTCCAAATCAGACAATAAGTTCAGAAAAATACTAATCCCAAATATCAGTTTTAAAAGCAGAAATCAAAGCAAAGCAACTAATTGTCGAATTGTCTTCCATTTGTGACAATGCTTGCCCCCACATTTTAATGAATGTCAGACAGTGACTTAACTGAATTTCCCTGGGATGTTTTGTCATCTTCCATATTCACTAAACCTTGCTTCCATGGATTCTCATCTCCTCTGATCCCTTCAAAATACTCAGAGTTCACTTCTTCCTAGACTGTCAAAAAGATTCCCAACTTTTTTGCAAATAAATCTAATGATGCTGATATGATGGCAAAAATTTGTAGAATAAAGTGATGCTTGTTCAATGAAATTTTCTTGAATTTTTATACTGTTTCAATTATATTTATCATTAAAAAAGAAAAAACTCAGATTTTGTTTTTATGACCTGGTATAAATCATGTCTACAAAAGTACTTACCAACCTATCTTCTCAAATATTGTTACTAGATATATACTTTTTATTATAAAAACATTTTGATTTATGCATTTATTGGTTTTTCTAAAAAAAAAATTATGGAATCCCACTTTTTATACAGTTCTTCAATTTCTATAATTATAATTAGGAAAAATTTATATTCATATCATAATTTGATATTTTTAATGTTTTAAATACTGAAATCATTATTATTTTTTTTTAGAATTAATTAAGCAACAAAGAGAAAAGGTGGAAAAGGAATTACAAGAAGTTGAAGAATGGTACAAAAAAGATAATTTTCCAAGCGATAAAGAAAATATTGGCCCCCAAGAAGAATGCGAACCACATGATGGACCAGATGCTGATCAGCAAGAAAGGCCTATTTTAGACATTGAAGGCCCATCTGTTGAAGAAAGGACTAATGAAAACAATGTAGAAATTCTTGCAGATCAAGATTTTGAACCTATTTATGACTAAACATATAGAATGAGAACGTATATATGTATATATATTATATCAAGACAAAACCAGGAAAGGTGATATAGCCTTCCCCCCCCACACACACACACACTAAAAGTACTGTATGTTTTCAATTAATTTTTATTACTTTTAAAAGAAATGTTTAATTTTTTCCCAATAACTGCAACCTTATCTTTTATACATGTGAATATGTAAATAACTTGTAAAAACATTTTTCTTGTTAATAGAAGTTTCTGTGATGAATAGCATTTCTATCATTTTAAATATATATGTATATACACACACACATATATATTTTTTGTTTCATTTTATGGGAAAAATGAATTTAAAAATATTTTATTTGCAGAATTGAAAATCAATATAATTGAATGGAAATGAATTTAAAAATATTTTATTTTGCAGAATTGAAATCGTTTTAATAAATAATATGAAGTCAATTGAATGTTTATTTTTTATGATATTAAATGTAAAATTTCAACAGAAGGGGAAACCTCCCCTCTTTTTTTATTCATTCATACACATATTTTAAAAAATTGTCTGTAGATTATTCAAAATAAAATGAGACTACATGCTTTCATAATACTGAATGCAGCAGTCATACCTTTCTATCCACTTTTATAAGATGCTCAAGTTCAAAGCTATTTTTCAACATTAGGGCAATGTGCAGTTCAGTAACCAGTGAAAGCTGGTGCCCATTTAAGAGTAAAAGTAAATGGCATAAAACCTTTAAATTAATGGATGTTTCTTATTAATTTTATGGAATATATGGAGGCAATATGGTGCAAGCTTCAATGAACAGAAAGTACACTATCATTTTGATAATTAAATTTTTAACAACCTATTGTATAGGCTAAGTGTGATGTATGAGGCACACGTACACACTTAGCAATGATGTTTGTACACTTTTTTTTGGCAGTATTATAAATATAATAAACAGTAAGCATCTTATATTAAGAACTTAGAATCTTTACAATTTTTGGTATTGTCATAGCAAAGTTGATGTGGTAGGTCTGTGAAAACAGGGAGGACTTTACAGATACCTGTCTAAATTCAAAAATAACTTGTGTTATTAAAAGACTTCCGTTAGACAACATCTATCTTATGAGCTGTTTTAATAATTTCATGCATTTCATTTCTTATTAAAATGCACAAAATTTGCTATTTGCTCTTGGTTATACTTTTAAATCTCTACTGGATTAAAGAAACATTCTAGTAATCAACGTACTCTATCTATTGCAGAAAACAGAAATAAACTAGCAAAATGCTATTACTTGACCATTTTATTATAATCGATTATTACAAATAACATGAGATGTAGCTTCTGGAGAGAGATGTCTTCATGCAGGAATTTCTGAGAGAAATTATATTCTTGTTACATATGAGGAGAGCCATGGATATTTCATGGAGCCTATCTGTCTGCTGGGATTTGATTCTATATTGAACTATTAGCATTCATTAGTCATTGGTTGGCCATTAAATGACTGAAAATACATATTAAATATAGCAGAGGGAAATATCTTCATGAGAGTTAGCTTGTATTCTTGTTACACGTGAGGAGAACCATAAAAATGCTATGGAGCGTACCTCTGTGCTGGTATTTGATCCTAGACTGAACTATGAGCATTTAGCAGTCATTGGATGGTGATTAAATGACTGAAAGTGCATATTAAGTGAGTAATGTGATATGTTCCAATTTGAATTACTCTTTTTAAGTTTTAATTCAGTTTGAATATGGAATCTATGGTTTTTGTTCTAGCTAATAATAATCATACTGATTAAACTACGACATCTCTGTTTCTTGCTAATATCTGTACATTCATGCCAAGTTACAAATCTTGTTTTCATAGTTGAAAACAAGATGGATTCATGAATCAGGAAGATTTTCCCCATCGTATTTTTTTAATTCTGTATTTTTCAATATTGATATCGTAAAATGTTTTGAATGTCTTTGTATCTTTAGGCCAGCATAAGAAAAAACGAAAAACTTGTGTATTTTTTTTTTTCTTAATCAGTAACTGGTAATGTTATTAGATATTCATTCTGTAAGGAAATTTATAGTTTCCATTAACCAAAGTAATTTCTGAGTGACTAGAATATTTTTATTTTTTGTAAACATAATGGTTTTAAGAGTAATTTCTAATCATGATTTAAAACATTGAGCTGCATGAGTAATAATGTTTACTGCTGGAAAATGTAACAAAAAGAAAATGAATGGATAAGGTTGAATTGGGGCTATGCAAATATACATATTCGTATCATTAAAGGAAATAAGAGCAAGCAAAAAAGAACATTATTTTCTGATACTGGGATTTTTGCATGTTCAGTCACTTTAAACTAAAATGCAAATTTTTCCTTTTGATTTTAATATGTGGCAGAACTAGGTTTGGCTGCTGCTGTAGATTATCTGGTGGTGGCTCTGTTAGCAGAGATAGGAAGTTTTGCATCAGAAGACCCATGGTGTATTTAAAAGTGATCTTGTGGGTGGAAGTAGAGTCTGTCCCATAGAAATTAAATTTACTATTGCCAGACAAAAACATGCTTCACCTTGTTTTGTTAATATTTTCTGGTGCTAGCACAGTCATCAAGATCAGCGTACAATTGTATTGCAAGTCCTGTGCATTGGCATGGCTGATCATTGTGCTGGTTGGCTGTGGTGTCAATGCAATGATGCTTCTAATTAGGCACTTTGTTTGCGTGGCATGACACAGTCGATATCATTTGTCATTTCCCTCTACATATTCAGAGCTGCATGTCTGTTATGTTTGTGGTCATCAGTGTGGCACTCACAAAATTAGCTGATTTAGTTGTCACTGCTTGGTATCTCATGGCATCACCTGTAAGCAAAGTTGAGAATTCCTGTGGAATAAGACTAATGGTGTCCTTAAAGATAGTAAATGACTGAGGATCATACTGGGTGTCTGTCGTGTAGAAATCAACTATGGTATCACCTGACAAAACCACACTGGCTTATCGTGCTGATGTTTGAATCTGTTTATTGATGCAAGTGCCTGATTGTTGATCAAGACTATCACTTTTATAAGTTAGTTTCAAAGCAAAAGGTAAAAGTAACTTACAGGTAAAATGATGTTTAATTTATATGTTTATTAATTCTGAAATTTATATTTAATATTTCTGACTCTGCTTCTTGCACTTAGCTAGTCAGAAACTGTTATTCTGTACATTCAGTTTGATTTAGTGACAATGTAAGTTCCAACTGGATATTGATAATTGTAGGTTAACCATTTGAGGACGGAACATTGGCAGCTGTAAAGGGCCGTTTCCACTGGGCTTTATATGAGTTAAAAGACACAACTGACATAGCTGACGCATCTTCAAAACAAGTTTTCCCCATAGGGCAGCGAGTTGAAAAGTCTGAACTGCAGGCATATCGGAGCTAGTCGACACATGGAACTGATTCCATTAGCTTAGATAAACCCCAGTGAAAATTGCCATTAAGAAGCTTGAAAGGATGGGAATCTTGAACCTAATGCTTTCCCCCCATTAAGAAATCGCTCCCTTCTTGCAACAAAGATCCTTGTGTGTTGTTTAATGGATTCTCATTGGGACGAATTTCTTACACAAAAAGAAGAGTGACTAGGATTAGTGACTAGGCTATTAGATGCTTTTCCTCAATGAGGGAAAATTTGTATAATACAAAGAAATGCAAAGGTATTTGATATTTCACATTTCATCCCAATCTTTTAGCTTGGAAATGGGGGAGGGGAACATGACCATTAAATTGGACAACCCCCGTCCTTTCAAACAGAGAACACAACTGACAATATAGTGGCCACCCGCCCCAAAGAGGTTAATATAAGTAAATATTATTTGGGTGACGTCTAAAAAGCATATGACTATGAACAAGATGTCGTACAGCTTATGTAGAGTTTAAAATGGTGATTTTTATTTAAAATTTGCATAATCTGGAGTAAATTATAGTTTTATATATTGGATAAGGTTCTTAAACTCATTATTTTGCAGAGTAAAAATTATTTTACTTACTTTTTTAATTTTTAGTTAGTCAGCTGTTTAATTTTGATTGAGACCATTTATTTGATATATCTGATATTGCCATGTTTGTTAATTTTAATTTATTACTTACTCTATGTTATGAAATTGTATTCAAATAAGGAGTGAACCTTCTTTAAATTGTCTATCCACAGTTCAAAATCATTTTTTTTCTTCTGTAGAGGTTGTCATTTTTAAGAGGTGCTATTCAAAATGTTCTCAGAAATGTTGGTCAATTTTGGAAGTGGGGCCATGAGAGACTCCTTGTATTATGTAATCAGTATTATTGCCTGACTTATAAATACTTAAAACTGAATGCTCAACACTTTTTACAAAGCATTATAATGTACTTTGTACCAAATCTGTAATTTTTTTTTTTTTTTTTTTTTTTTTTTTTGTGAATATAGAAAGTCATCTGAGTCTGAATTTATAATTCAAAAAAGTATTGCTATAAAGGAAAATATAAATTTATCATTTAAAGTCTGATAAGTAACGTCCAGAAATGTAAACAAATAACACATGCGTCTTTCACTTTTCTCTGTATTTATTACTTATTTCATCCAGTGATAAAGAAGTTTATAAAACTGAAAGCATGGGCATTGAATTATTTTGCTTACATAATTCCTTTTCCTCTGCTCTCATGTTGAGATGCAGCACAAGTCTGCTGAACATTTATGTAATAGTTAACTGGATTGAAGATTTTAATGGATTAAATTTTCATCTTTGATCTGAAAACTAAATATTACAAATGTATTTTAGCAACCATGTACAGCATAAATAATATATATTTAAAAAA